CACCCGCACCATACTCTCTCTTTTGGGGGGGGGGGTGTCTCATGATTGGTAATTGATTTGATTTCCAAATACTGAGTAATTAATGATGACAGTGACAGTCACAGTGGGTGGGTATCCTGGCTTGTCACATAATAGCTTGGGCAAGTTATTTAATCTCTCTCTGCCTCAGTTTTCTCACATGTAAAATGGAGAAAATAATAGTACCTATTATTGCCAGAATCAAATGAATCAATATCTTTAAAATGCTTAGAAGAGTACCTGGAGTATAAAAAGCACTGCATAAGTATTATTGCTATTGAGCAAATACCAAGTGTGGATAAAAGGAAGTAGATATAGGTAGTTATCAACGAGTAACTGTTTCTTTAAGTAAATAAAAAGAAGTTAAATGCAACTGAACTTTTAGACCGATCTTTCTCTATTAACTAAAAGTATATAAAAGAAAACGGCAAAGTGAGATTCTATCATAGCCAGTCAATTTAAATTTTGATCTTTGCTGATTCAGATGTCAGGACGGGCTAAATTTTCTCTTGGGCATGAGAACAGAGAAAGAATACTTTTTTCAGTGTACTTTTTCTTATCTTCCAGATATGTAACCTCAGAACTTTTAAACAAAACCTCCTTCCCAGTGGCAACCTTGAGATAAAATATGAAAGCCAAGTTTGAGCATTAGGGAGGAAAAAGGAAAAGGGCAATCCTTCCATACGGTTAAAGAAAATGTACCACATTCTCTTGTACCGCTTTTACAATTAAAGGTAATAGTGGGGTCCGGTCAGATTTCCCCTGTGGGCGGCAAAGGTCATGTTTCAAGGACTGCAGGGATGACAACTGGAGTCTGCAGCAGACACCCTCCTTTTTGTCTTGGCTGGCCTGGGAAGGGGCTTGCTGGGGTGAGTACTGGCCACAGACCCAGAGAGGAAGCAGATGAAGGCAGGCTACCTGTGTACCCTTTTCATTCCTCTTACCCTCCTCTCCTCTTCCCCACCTCTCTGTGCACGCTCACAACTCATTGCCTCGGGTGCCTTCATGTAAGGAAAAGAAACAAAACAAAACATGCCGATGTGTATCGTGAGTTAAACGAAAGAGGCTGCATTTCAGGATTTATTTTTGTTTGTTTTTGTTTTGTTTTGAAAGCTTCTTTCCTTCGTAAGTAAGTGAGACAGAGAGGAAAAGAGACAGGCATCCTTCAAAAAAAAAAAAAAGAGACAGGCATCCCCAACAAGATCTTCTACCCCCAGCCTCAGCTAGATCCAGATCACTGACACACCTGTGCCCAGCATTCAAGGAGGTCTCTGGATATGGACCTGGAATCTTCACACGTGGGTCAGCCTCTCAGAGCATTGCATTACCTCTGTACCACTGTCCAGCCCCAGGATTTGTTTTAAAAAGAATATATAAGAGGGGACTGGCAGTTAGCGTAATGGCTATGTCACTGGACTCCCACGTAGTCAACCGTGGTTCGAGTTCCGGACCTGGTGGCTTAAACTCATGCTGGACGCATGTGCATGCGTGCCCAAGATCCTGAGAGGAGAATGGAGAAGGGATTGCGGCATGGCCATCACCCCTGAAGGGTGATTTCTCGCTTTCTGTCTCTCTGTCTCTGTCTTTCTGGCAAGCACACACGCCTTATAGCAAAAACCTCTCCAAAATAAATAAATAAATAAAAGAATATAAGAGGAGGCTAGAGTTATACTACCAAGAGAGAAGAATTTCTTCTTTTTTTAACTTGGTAAGGGCTTCTAAGACCTTGGACTGTACCCTATGGAGTCAGGCCCAGTTTCTCCACAGCCACTGGCACCCAGGGTATAGAACAGGACGAGGCTTCCCAGGAGTAAGGTGTGGGAAGGTTGTACAATAAAGGGACAGGCCACCAGCAGCAGAGTAGGACTTCTGTCCTTTGTACATAGAGAAGAATAAATATCTCCCAAAGTACAAGATATTAGGGGGAGGAGCACTTAATTGAATGAATCACAGTGCTGATTTGGGGGTGGGGTTGGTGGGAAGGGATGTCCTTGTGGTTAACCACATTTTACTGGGTTTTTTATTGACTGCAGTTGTATTGAAAGAGACATGACTCAGACATACCATATCCAAAGCCACGTAAAGCACTGAGTTCTAATGGAATTTCAACGTATGAGAAAGTCATTAACTGTACTATGAGAAGTGAAAAGTTTTGCTATCAACCTAGATATCATTTGCTTGTGTCCTCTAACGGCTGAATTGGCTGATTTTTCTATTTTCCTTTCTACTTTAAGACTGCAGCTAGTCACTGCTCAGGCATATACACTGTTCTACATGTTAGGGACCGCGTCTCTTAAAAGCTGGTTGCACCCAGGGGCCGGATAATCATGCAGTGGTACTGCAATCCTCTAAGAAACTGACCTACATGGGAGGGTTCCAGGTTCACATCTGAAGACTTCCCTGAGCACATCAGGCACACGCGTGTGAGTGAGGACCCTGTTGGAGGTGCCCCCCCCCACACTCACTGAGGAAATGAATAAACTTAAGAAAAAAGTTAGTTATACCCTCCTGCATTTCGCTCATAAATACCATTTAGCAATCTTCTTTTTCTTTGTGAGAGTAGTCAGTTTATAAGTTTATCTCCACAAATATGCTATCGACTATTTGAGGACAGGAATAATATAATAATACCAGGGACAAAAGCAACGTTCTTATTATTGGGAGCGTAACATTTGTCAAGTATCTACCTGGACTATGCCATTGAGACAGGAGTTAAGAAGCTTTGACTTAAAGAAGGAACGAGCCCAATGTTATGTAACCAGAATAATGACGTCTACACCCAAGCCTGAGGTGTGTGATCCTAATTCCTCCCCCCCATGCTGTCCCTGCCAAGAGGGATCCATCCTCACCTCATTTTTTTTATCCATCTGTGTAACTCAGGGACCAAACCCTTCAGGTGGTATATGCTCAGTGCATATTAATTGAATTAAATGGGATAAAACAAAATGTCCCAGCTCACTGATGTCAAAGACAATCTAGGCACAGCTTAAAGTGAAACGACAAGGAAGTAAGATGGGCCATGTACCACTTGGTTGTAGAAAGAGCTGCTAACACATAGTCCTGATAGGCAAGTTTGGAGCGAGGTTCTAGTCCTTCTAGTAAGACAAAGAATATCATTCTGCCTGATTTATTTCTACTAATTTCTAAAAACTGTATTGTGGTAAGACCACTTAACATGAGATCTACCCTCTTACATTTTAAGTGTATAACCTGAGGCCAAGTATGGGTACAATGTTGTTCAACATATCTATAGAACTTATTCATACTCAATGAAAACTTTATGCCCATTTATTAGGAATACCCATTTTTCCCTCCCTCCAATCCCTGAAAACCACCATTCCTCTCTTTGATTCTATGGATTTGACTATTTTAGATACCATTTTTTAAAAAGATTTTTGCTATAGGGCACATGTGCTCACTGGAGAGACAAAGAGACAGAGACAGAAAGCAAAAAATCACCCCCCAGGGGGAATGGCCATGCAGCAATCTCTTCTCTTCCATTCTCCTCTTGGGATTTTGGGCACTCATGCACACGTGCTCAGCGTGAGTGTTAAGCCACCGGGTCCAGGACTCAAACCACGGTCAACTACACAGGAGTCCAGCAAGGTAATCATTAAGCCATCTGCTGCTCCTTTAGATACCACATGTTTTTAAACAGTATCTCCAACATTATTTTTCTCTCACAGAAATTGTTACCACATTATATTGTTTCTAGACTTTGAAAAATCACTTTGCTATTCTCAATGTATGCCAACTTGATATTAAACAGATGGACTAGAATTTCTCGTTTTTCTATGGTTTTCAGGATAGGAAAGAAGGAAAGTTTGAGCTTTCAATGATCATTTTGAAATGAATGAATGAATAGCAATTTATTCAGCCCTCTGCCATGGGCAAGACATTTTTATGTGTTGGATAATTCCTTCCTTTCTCTTTTTTTCTTTTTCTTTTTCATTTTAGTTTTATTCAGTACAATTACAGAATATGCTGCATGCTACATAACACAGGTATAAACCTTCTAGCATGGGGTAGATGATCATAACTGAGTTATTTTTCATCCATCAGGAAACTGCTTTCTTAATCAATGTTCTCCAAACCCTTTGACACATAGTGACAATTAACTCCAGAGATGTGCCATTCTCTTTCCATCAAACGCCACTGATACGTAAAATGGGCAACCCTCTTTTCCTTGTCCCCGTTGATAAACTTGTGCATGTACGCAGTGGCCAGTCTGGGAATGACCAAGCACACGCCCATGGTGGCGACCTCAGGGAGAATCTCGAACCACATCTTGGCACCCAAATCCGGCCTCTAAGCTCCTTAAAGGTGACCGGGCTTCAGCTCGTTTCCCGGAACAACACATGCCGCCGATAATTCCTTTCTTTAAAATACCATTAAGAAGTAGGGTTTCATTTTGCCTTTTGTAAACTTATTTCTCTCATGAAAAAGAGACAAGAATCCTCAACAGAATCCCACACTGCAATCATCCTCCAGCCTCACCAGCCTGCCAAGATTATGCATGTGCACACCCAGTGTGTACAGATCAATCCGGGAACCAAAGCCTTGATCAACCATATGGATTCAGCATTCCTTGAGTAATGCATTACTGCTGTGTCACTGTACCAACTGGGCTTTTTTTTTTTTTTAAATGAATTCTCATTTTAGAGAAAATAAAAATGAGGTTCAGAGAAGGTAACTGACTTGCCCAATGTTACACAGTCAAGAATTCACCCAGTTCTCTTTTATGCAAACTCTGTATTTTCTTTCTACTATCTCATGGACTAATTGTCACATTTAAGGGTCATTGTTAGCTCATGTGTGAGTCACTTTCTTGGCTTATCAACAGCAGGTTGGGATAAAAAAAAAATCAAAGGCTGACATCTTCACAAAGTTTACAGGAAGGGACCACCGTCTGTTATACAAAGCAAATGAAACAGAAAGGCCCATTATATGAACTCGTCTGTCTAGACAGATGACTAAACAGGGGTCCCTCCAGGGTTAGACTTGAATTTCCTCTGTTCAGTCTGTTGGATATTTAGCAATAAAAAAAACTTAAGCCGTTTAAAGGCTGTAGTACTAACCCAGTCCCTCCTATGCTACCCAGAGAGTAGTTTAAAAGTTGTTTCAGTGCAGCCTGCATGTGTTAAAGTTTCAAGCAGAAGTCAGTTTGAGACAAGAAGAGCCCTAAAAATACTCTTGCTGTCTGGCTACAGACCCAAGAACGTGCTACTAAATGTCCCTTTATAGCTCGAGTGACAGCAGCTTGAACTCACTGAGGGAGCGGGGTCTCATACAGGTGTCCCTGTAGCAGGGGATAGGAATGCATCCAAGTTAGGTTTCTCATCTTTCACATGGGTTGGCAAGTAGCTTCTCTCGTGTGTCTTATGTGCCCTAGGGACACTGAAGCCTTTTCTAACTTATAATATGAAAAAACACTGCTTAAGAGTGAAGAAACATCCATATCCTTTCATCAAGGCTGCGAGATATAAACAGGCTGGTGGTGATAAGATTTTTTAAAAGCCTATTCATATTCCTGTGCTTAGTGTACAGAAAGTCCCTCCAGGTAGGCAATTAACAGTTGGCTAGCAGACCATGGGGCCCCAGGAAGAAACTGGGAGTATACCAATTGACTAAGACCTCTCTCATTTCCCAAGAAGTCCTTAGCAATGTGCAGGATGCTATTTATATGATGGTCCATATTTGCAAAATTCATCATTCCCTCATTTAAAAAAATATTTATTGGATGCCTCATTCTGTAGAATTCCTTCATATATATGGGGATAGACAGGCCTGCCAGGAAATAGCTATGAAATTTCTAGGGCCCTGCCCATTGAAAGGTGCCAGTACTATTCTAATCTTTTAAAAGGGCATTAGAGAATTAAAGCCCATCATTTAAATAGAAAGTAAATGCTCAGATTGATCAGCCTGCAAAAAAACACAAACAACACAGCAACAACAAAAAACAGTTGTCCTATTCAGGGCACAAAACAGTAAATAGCGCGATTTTATGCTACACTTTAATTCTTACCCCATCTGGGCAAGAGAAAAGAATCTAGGATGCACTCATCCTCCACACAAATTCATATAAGAAAACATTTTCATTCTTCAAATGAGGAATACAGAGAATGTACATGAGCTAAACGTGGGGGTCACCGTTTAATTTCAATACCAGCATGTAAGCTTTTGGGTTCAGCTGTCTACCTTGAACTTTCATATGTTTTTCAGGGGAAAATAGTATATTTAAAAGAAAAATGAAACCTATCCAAGCATGCTCTTTTCCTTAATCAGAACATAAAAATGATTCCCTAATACATACAGACATAGGGTGCTCTTCAGTAGGTTCTCTTCAGTGACAGCTCATGCTTTCATCCAATTTTTTATTTAAATTTGTCACCTTAAGAGAGTGACTCTGAGGATGAGCTTTGGAGGCAGGCAGACCAAGTTCAAGTTCTGGCTCTGCTGTTCATTAGCTGTGCGATGGTGGGGAGACTGCATGTGATGTTGCCAAGCCTCCATTTCCTTATCTGCAGATGAGGATCACAGTGTTTATTTAACGTGCTAACATGGCAATTAGCCCAGTGCCCAACATAACTATTCAGTAACCAATGGTTAGTATTACTATTCTTCTTCTTCTTTTTATTATTATTAGAGAAAGATTCACTAACCCCACCCAAACAGATGTCTTTTCTTTACCTAGAACTTCATTCATATTATAATATAGATAACTAGACAGAACCAAACAATTTTAGCAAAAGCTATGTTTAAGCCCCCAAAACAGGGGTTCTCAACTCTGCCACATATTAGAATCACCTGGCGGAGCTTTTTTTTTTCCTAAATTTTTTTCGAGATATTTTTTTTTTCCTATGAGAGAACCTACCCACAATAGGGTCCTCATGCCATGATCCGTTTCCAGCCTCAGCCAGCCTCGATCATGAGCACATGAATATGTACTCAGAGTGCCCAAGGTGGTCCTGGGACATAAACTCAGGACTTTTCGATGTGGGTCCAGTTGTATTATTGCTATAGTAGTGTCTGGCCCCAATCTGGGGAAATTGTTAGAACTAAAGATGCCAGTTCCAAATCCAGAGCAACTGAGTCAGAGTTTCTGGAGGTGAATCTCTGTTTAAGTAACGTAAGTCACGTTCAATGCTCCCCAGGTGATTTTTCTGCATCGGAGCTACAGAACAAAACACACCTTGATACAGAAGTTTCCCACAAAGGACCTGAGTGCACTGACATCTGAAGCCCAAGGCCAATTCTTTACCACATTACCAAGAGTCCCTACTAGGTCAGCTGTTTGGGTGCTTTACCTGTTTAGTTTATGCAAAACAATCTGCTCTCTTTCTAACAGGAACACTAAAATTAGTGAAGCAGCCACAGTTTCATAGGGGGCTTCCTGGTCATCTGAGTATAGACAATAGACCAGGTAAGTAGCAGCCTTCGATAAACAAGGAACACAGACCAGACCAGGGAAA